CGAGGCCTACGAGAAGGCAGAGACCCTCAAGTAAATTTTCCACTTTCTTACCCATGCATAAACCAATAAAAAGAGAGACGAAACCTGTTGCTGGTGGACGAAACGGGGCAGCCTTCTTCTACCTGGCCACGCTTGTTCCGAGCCTGCTTCTCTTTGGATGCGTCTTCTTCACCCTCGGCCTCTACAGAATGTGGCCCATTTTTCTGACTGTGTCGCTCTACTGCACCGTCACCACCCTCGCTCGCAGTCCCCTGCTCCACTTTGGCGCCACTTTCGCGTCCGCGTTCCTCTTCACGCTCCTCCTCGTCCGCCTCGGCCACATCAACCGCGTCTTCTTCACGAAGCCAAACGAGCACTTTCTGGTCAAGCGAATCTACGTGAACTACAACGTGGTCTGCAACGGCTGGGCCTGCGCCCTCTTTGCCCTCATTCGCACCGTCTCGGTCTCCCTGAACCAGCCCAGCCCCAAGGTCGTTCCTGGCCTCCTCAACCACGTCCGCTACAAACTGTCTCAAATTCGATTTGGTGCCATTTCAACCCAAATTGCCATCGTCTACGTCACCCTCCACTCCATTCACATGGCCATTGGTCGCCTGACGAATGCCATTCTCTTCCTAGTCCGCCTCAAACTGGATATCGTCTCATTCCGCCTCTACGTCCTCAACACGGTCGTCTTCATTGGGTCGATTCTGCTCTTCAACCTCATTCTGGTCGTATACGACGCATTGGTCGAGTACAACTCCAACGAGTTTGGTCGATCTGGTCATCTTCGACCATTTCGACTCCTTCAAAAGTACAATTCACCAACAGTAGAGAAACTACTTGATCAAATAGAAGGATTGAAGAAGGAGTATTTGGACACGTTTGTGGTGAGAGTACCAGCTGTAGGCAGCCAGAATGGAACAGAGGCAACGAGACAGTATCACAGTCTCAAACAGGTTGGATACGCCGTAGTCTATCGAATCAGACTGGGCCTATTCTTAGTTCGATACGGGTATTTTGCTAGTAAAATGGATGAAATGGAGTACGTCAGAAAACAGGAACTAAATAGGAGAATTGAGAGAATCAATGTCGACCTGGGAGTGGTTCTGCCTCAGTTCAACTAGAAACAAGTCAAATATCATTTATTGTGTCAGATCTGTCTCTAATCATCCTCATTCTGGGGCGACAGTGGTCATCATCCACGTTGCTTTGGTGGTGGTCAGATATTTTAGTCAAACTCATTCTTCATCCGAGAGGAAGTGTATCATCATTCCACGGGGTAAATTTTGCACTTTTTTATCTAGGCCACTCTCGATCGAACTGCCTCTACCACCCTCTTTCTGCCTTTGATGATCATTTTGTTGCCAAACACGCGTCCAAGCAGCTCATCTCCCAGGATTCTGATGCTGAACTCATCCTCGTCCACGTAGAATGAGTCATCCAGATCCATTCTGCCTATTATCGCGTATTCATCCATTTCAGAATATTTCTGCCTAAATAAGCCCAGATCCATCCTGTTTTCAGCCACCACGTCCATCAGCCCAATCTTGAAGCGGTGGCCAGCCCATCCATCAATTTTGATTTCAATTGGCTCATCCAGGTCATTCAGCCCAATTTCAAGGAGTCTCTTCTCTCCAACAGTGCATATTCTGGTAGAATGGGATTCATCTCGTATTCTGATGATCAGATTCAACTCACTGATCAGCTCATCCACGCATATTTTGATGGCTGATCCATCCAGTAGGAGCATTCCACTGATTCCACTCGTATTCAGACAGAATCCATCAATTTTGTTGTAGATTGAACAGGTTGAGCTGATTTCAACTGGATCAGTCTCAAAGAAGGGCTCTTTCAGGGAGCCAGTTTCTGGGGCAGGATGGACCAATGCACCAGTGCAATCAGCATCACTTGAATTCCCCCTATTTGTCTCATTCTCACCATTCTGACCATCATCAATTACTGATCCATATCTGATCAAATTGGTATCGTACTCTGCCTGGTGTCTCCGACAGTCTTCCACCTC